CCATTTCTGATCTTAGGTCACTGGTTTAGACCCGGAAGGAAATGTGTATACAACAGAAACCCAAAGAAATAATAATAATAATAATAATAATAATAATAATAATAATAATACATGAAGGAAACTGAAAGAAACTGGTATGAACACCACCCAGACCCGGTTACGGAGATAGGACCTGTTACAATTCTATGGGACTACACAATACACACTGACAGAAAAATCAAAACCAACCGCCCAGACATTGTTATTAGAGACCACAAACAAAAAGTGCCTCCTTATTGATATGGCAGTCCCTGCTGACTGCAATGTGCCTTTGAAGATATTCAAAAAGCTGTCAAAATACAAGGACCTTGAAATAGAAATCTCGAAAATGTGGCATATAGGAACATCAACAATCCCTATTGTAGTTGGAGCCCTAGGACTGGTTGGAAAAGATTCAAGTAGACTAATTGAAGGGATTCCTGGAAGTCCATGCCTCAAGGAGATACAAAAAATTGTTCTGACAAGTACAGCCCACACTTTACGAAGGGCTTTATCCATGTAATTTTTTTTTTGTTAGTGGAAAGTGTCATGATGCTATTTCTAACCTTAGGACCCTGGGCGGGACCCGGAAAGAAATGTGTAAACGCCAGAATTCAAAGAAAATAAAAATGATATTAATAATAATATTGCAAGTTGCGTAATGATAGTTTTTCGAGACACATGCCAATGTAGACAAACTACATTTTATTTTTACTAATAATATTCACCCTCAGCTCAAATGGATATACAGAAAAAAAGATCACGCATGCGCGCAGTCAGAGAAACACGTGCGCGCATAACCGCAGACAGACTAGTACATAGATAAATAGAATGATACGATAAATTTTCTCCAATTTGATGCACAATAAAAAATATAAACAAGTAAGTAAACGAATAAATAAATTATGAATTTATTTTGTATAATTTCCAGAAGAACATATCAGAAATTCTCTTCTCATTTCTATTCAAGCAGAAACGAGGATTTAAACGAGAACCCAGGTGTTCTATAATCGCCTCGATCGCCCATCCACACTACATTCGTTTACTTGTAAAATCAGCTAAATTTTCTGGTCTCTCTTATTCTGATGTATTGGCAAGGAAAGTCATTCGATTTATTTGTTTATTTAAATAATATCATGCATTTAAAATAGTTTAATAAGGGCGTATAATCACATCAGTGGAAAGCTTAAACACAACCGGCGACACTTAATTGATCATCTTAATTGAACAATTCGATCACCTTTTATCGGATCAGACGACCTAAGGTGTGTTCAGAAGAGAAATCAGATATTTCTTTTATTTATTATAAATGCAAATTTATAACTAAAACGTCCTTTATTAAAAAAACAAAAACAAAACAAAAAAAAAAAACACGAAAAGATAAATAGTTAGGTACAAGCGTAGCGTAGCTAGAGGGGACAAGGGTGGGGGTGACACATTTATGGGGGCGGCATTTTTGATCTGCTGTGTAAGACTGTCTAGGCAGTATTGAAATAAAAGTGGTTTTTATGTCGGGACATTACTCACAATTGAAGGATATTTTTTTCGATTGTGAGTAACATAAACTATGGCGTATGTATTTAAACGAGTGTTATCTTGACCGAACAATAAACATTATCCTGTGATGTATTCAGGGCTGTTTTATCATTGTTGACATTAAGAAACCTGTGAACGAACCAAGGGTGCGTTCTTTTAAACAAGATGTGTCTCCCACACTGCTGTGTGTGGAAGACACATCCTGGTTGTTATCATATAAATTTCAGTTATATTCCTTGACAGAAGTTTGTTTAAGAGTATGCGTTGCTCTATTTTTGGTATTTTCGGCCTGTAAATAGTTTATTTCTCCCTCACTTTTTGTATATATATATATATATATATATATATATATATATATATATATATATATATATATATAATGGAGCCACTGTGCAATAATTTTTGTGGCGGGGAAAGGGGGACTATGAACTCAGGAGAATTCGGGTAGGTTTCATGTGGCAAGGGTTTCGAGTTTCCCTGTATTGAAGATGGCCATTCAAAATCTACTAATCAGGCATTGAAAATAAAAAAGAAAAAAAGTTTTTACAGTAAAATAAATGGTTAGCTTAATCTGGAATAAAGTCACAGTAAAGGGAAGTTGTTGAAGATTGGAACTCATTACTCCGTTATAGCTGATTGGAACGAATAGTTATGACCCCATGATAAAAACAACGCACTCAAACGAATCAATAATTAAATAAATAAAACCAACAGGAGTAGATAGGTTCGCTTGTTGTCCTGTTCACACTCCTTCCCAGTTTTGAATAGGGGTAGAATTTTATCCCTTATTCCTTAATTAAAATTGGGTTTCGGAATTCTTCTAAAGTTTTTCATTCGCTTGTTTTCCCAGTCACAACAATCTTGACCTCCTCAAGCCTGAAGTTGGCTGTTATCTTTTTTTGCATAACCCCATCAACTTCTCTTCCTACCATTTCTTGTTCTCATACAACATCACACAGTAATCATCTATCTTGAGCGACTCTTGGGCCTTGCATTGGGTAAACATTTGCAAAAAATAAAAATAAAGTAAAAAACGAAAACAATAAATAAATATATCCAAAAGAAGAGTAATTTTTTGTATAGATTTTAAGAAAATCAGGAGAAATTGCTTTAAAAATTGTCTTATGTTTGATATTTGTTCATCAATTGGAAATGACGATTGTTTTCTAGCTAAAAAAGATATTTAGTAATTGAAAAAGAAGAAAAATGTTACCTTGAAAAAAACAATGTCAAAAATCGGTAACACATGACAAGATGGAGAATTAGAGTTAATAAACCATTAAATATGAAAGAAAAAGAAATATACGACAAGATTTTGTATTTGTAAAATCATTTATTTTGAGAAATGCGTTTTTAATTATTTTTTTTTTATTTAATTACTTTATCGAGTTCCATATTAAAATTTCTAAGGTTACCTTTTTTTTAACTTCTTTCTCGCTGTTTCTTTTCTTCTTTTTTTGTTTAAGAATCCAAGAAATATTTCTGTCTTTCGTCTTTGTCGTGTTAGGCTTAGTTATTGTATTTTTGCACAAGGAAGAAAAGACTTACGCATTTATTTCTCATTTGTTCTTCTTGTCTTTCACTCCTAGTGTTTAGGCAATGTGTACGTATAATGACAAATTAGAGAAGCGAAAGAACAAAACGATAGAGAATAAAACGACATACTAAGCCTTAAGGGTCTTACTCTCTAAAACAAGAAATAAATAGCCACTAATAAAGTAAGGGTTTACATCAAAGCCAATACATATTTGCTTTTTTTTTGCTTTTTCGTTCAGTGTATTTGTTCATCAATAAAATTATCATTAGCTGACATTTAAACCGATCCATACATAACTCACGAAGAACAGCAGTAACAATAGCAGAAGTAGTAATAATAATAATTATAAGGATTATATATATATATATATATATATATATATATATATATATATATATATATATATATATATATATATATATATTGTATAGAAGTAATGGATATTTTATTTGTTAATCTGAAAGAAAGGTTATTCAGTGCCGGAGAACACATGTTTTTCTTTAATAAGGTTTTCTTTAATATTTAGACCGGTAGACGAAAAAAAAATACTATTTAATAAATAAACAGATTATCTACAAAAATATGGGTACCCACTAAAAAAAAATTTTTAAAGTGATGATGATATATATATATATATATATACACACACACACACACACATACATACATACATACACACACACACACACACACACACACATATATATATATATATATATATATATATATATATATATATATATATATATACACACAGATATACTTTATTATAGGATATTACATTCAAACTTGTAAATAAACGCTATATGCAGTCATGTTTCGATGTGTATCGACACATCTCATCAGACGTTAGTAACTGACTGGTAGTAGAATTTATTCGAATTTCAACCACATACAACCTGTCTTCACATTTCACACACACACATATATTTATATACTCGACTTTCCTGTTGAATTCGACGTGTGAGGGTCAAGCAGATAAGTTCCGAGGAACCAACAGCCCGACACCCGCACAGGAGATTTGATTATAGAGGTGAAGTGTTTGTGCAGAACCATCCACACTTTTTGAAAGTCCGAATACAGAAACCTGGTGCACTACATGCCACGAGGCCCCCAAACAACCCTCCGGAGGTTTTGAATTCATGGAGGGAGAAGAAGAGGATTGATACCTTTCCCAAGGGTATTAGCACGTAAGTGAATGTAATGGGTTCCTATATATATATATATGTAAAGGGAAGAGGTTATAGTAGATCCAACGAGAGAAAAGTGTATATCAAAAAGATATATATATATATAAACCAAATTAAAACTATTCTTTACCAACGCATTTTGTACTGTATATTAGTAAATAGAAGTGAAAATTGAAAGCCTATTAATGATTTTAGATATATTTGCAAATACAAAATCCATCAGACGCTGAAACGTGTTGATAAAAAATAGTTTTCCTTTTGTATTTATTCGTATTGTCTTTTAACATATATATATATATATATTTTTTATATTAGTATTTTTATACACATACATACACACGCAGACACATATGCATATAGGAATATATTTGGAAACAAAAAGCCCACTTAGTATAAAAATGTTGTCATTTCTAGGGCACATAATGAGGAAAGAGGGTTTAGAAAATTCGACACAACAGGAATTAGGAGTGATAGCGAAAAAGACAGACTTTACTAAGAGCTAGAAAGGAAGAAACTGCAGAGAACCATGATCACCCACGTTCTGAAGCGGCACGGCACGTAGAAATATAGGAATAGGGATTTTAGCAAGAATAATTGCAGGTGGTGATAATGATTACTACTACTGCTACTATTAGGAAGATAATCATTAAAAATATCCCTAAGAAAAGACTATGAGAACACTTAATGAAGAAATTTGGATTAAATCTAAAATTTGAAAACGTTCCCGTACGAGCACCGAAGTTAAGCAAAGTCGAGCCTGGTCAGTACCTGGGTGGGCGACCGCTTGGGAATGCCAGGTGTAAACTAGGATGTAAGGGTGGCGTAATGGATAATAGCTAGGAATTTGAAAATATCTTTTATTTCATCAAAAAGGGGGGCATTAATTTACAATCCATATCAGAAATAATGTAAAAAGAAAAATGGTTTCTTTTAGTCAAGGTGATTAAATTTGTTTTTTTTTTTTTCAAAGTTCTCTACTCGAGACTTACAGAAGAATTAGTTGATAGAATTGATTTTTTAACTGTTCGTATAAATTACCAATCTGAACATTATCACCTTTAGGCTTTACACTTGACTACAGTTAGAAAAAAATCCGAAGATTCGGAAGAAAGTAAAGGTGGTAAACGGAACAAGGGCTCTTCCTTTTTTTTTTTTTTCATCATCATAAATGTGGATTTTTGTCCGTTATTGTTGTTGCAAAAACCATTCAGTATTTCCGGAGATATTATCAGAATCTGACAATAATTATTATTTTCATTTTTTATTTTTTTGCAACGATTACATTCTCGTAAAAATGTTCCCTTAAAAAAGACTCTTTCTTTTTGTGCTTTAGAAAGATTTCTTCTTTTTTTCATTTACGACTACAAAGCAAGAGACAAAGGCAGTCATTAAATTAATACTTAAAGATAATGAATAAGAAGAGAGACAGACGATTTTATTGATAAAACGGTTAGTAGTAGTAGTAGAATAATAATAATAATAATAATAATAATAATAATGACGATGATGATGTTTAGCCTTTTAGGAGCAGTAGTAGATCTGTTATAGTAGAAGTAGAAGCAGGATCGCTATAATTGCGCGAATCTGAAGTGTCCGCGCGTGTGTCAACTTGAAACTGTGATATAGTCATTGTCTTTGTGCTTGTTATATATACTAGAATCAGTAGACAAAAAAGGTAAATAAAGAATTTTGGGAAGGATATTGTGTAAAAGAAAAACCAAATATCGCATGGAAGTTTATTTCTTAAAATGCAAAGTAAAATAAATGAAAAAAAAAAAAAAAATTCGGAAAATTGAAAGAGTGTTCTTGACGAGACGTTCAGGTCAAAAAAAAAAAAAAAAAGTAAAGAAAGATGTTGGCTAAAGATTGGGAAATGACAGAGAAGGTTGTTGAGTAAAAAAAAAAGAAAAAAAATCTTTTTTTTTTCTTTTATTCAGTAAGAAGAGGAAAGGAGATTTGTTATTGGTAAAAAAAGGTTCCTTCCCAAATCCATGTGTTTTCATTCTCTTTTATCGTAGCAAGATTTTTTTCTTTTTTTTTTTATTTTAACTTAAGGCTCGTCTGACTGTTTTATTTGAAGACTGGAGTATAATGTTTTTTTTTTCGGGCTGCGCTGAAGGGTTTAAATTTCAAAAAGCTAAATAGATTGGGAAAAACAAGAAAAAAATAGTGAGAGAAAAATCCTTTCATCGACACCTATTTTATTCGCAAATCAAATATTCGTGATAACGAAAAACAGCGTAAATTATCACAACGCCTGCTCATTGATCAGATCGCCTGGTTGGTTGATGATGTAGGTAAGGTCTTTTTAAGGACATATCTCATTTCCTCAGTATTTTTCCACATGCTTTTTACTCGGTACTACCTCAAAGTATATATATATATATATATATATATATATCACACACACATTAATTTAGCTAAAAGACAAGGGAATGAGTTTCTTGAAACAAAACATAAAACACACATTCACGCGCGCGCGATACTACAATCCTAGTAGAGATAATTAAATCTGAAATTTTAAATAGAAATATTTTTTATTAATAGTTTTCATTTTTTTTAACTTTTCTTTTTCTTGCCTGAAATTAAAATAGAACCTTTTTGCTAATATTTGCAATAACACCAAAGAGAGAGAGAGAGAGAGAGAGAGAGAGAGAGAGAGAGAGTGTGAGAGAGAGAAAAGAAAGACTAAGAGTAAGAGAAAGAAAGAGTGATAGATAGATAGATAGATAGATAGATAGATAGATAGATAGATAGATAGATAGATAGATAGATAGATAGAGTGCGTGATTGAAAGAAAAAGATACGGTATTTTGGTGAAAAAGAATGAAAGAAAAAAGAACACGTTTAATAGTATGATTTCTGAATGGAGTTAAAAACCGTAAAGAAAAAAACGTAACAATATTACAATGAAAATATTGACAAAACAACCCCTACCCCCTAAAAAAACGAATGTAAAAATACAAGAGGAGTGCTACTACACGATATTCCGCACCCCACCATATTTTTAATATTTGCATGCAAAAATAAAATACATTTTTTTGAGATTGTACCTCTTTTTTTTTTTTTAATGCGATGATAAGGTCGCTTTAATGAATAAAACTAAACAATAATTTTTTTTTATTACTAATTAAAACAAAATAATGTAAACAAAATTTTTCAAACCAATATATAGACTTGTAGAATGATCTTGTTTTAAATTAAATTTTTACTTTAAAAATAGATTACGAGGAATTTATTCAATTTTGTTATAAACACCAACGAAGTTTTAATTCGACGGTGTGTAAATATTTCATTCCCTCTTCCCATTGGTCATGAAATTTACAGGTGTAAAAAAGGTAAGGCAATTGATTAGGAATCAGAGAAATGTAAGCAAAATGAAATATAGTAATAATAATAATAAACACTTACCTCCTCCGTGTTTTTGGCATAAATAAGGAAACCTCCAAACATTTCCAAGACCCACAGCATAACTGATTACCATGAACATATATTGTACTTTATTATCCCAGGCTCCACGGTTTGGGTCGATGGGTGTCGCCTCAGCCGAAAGGGTCATTGTAGAATTTAAGGGCAAAGACAATTCAATGCCATGTTCCAATTCTTTAGTCCCCTTTTCTTTCCCCATGTTGTGTTGTTTACACAAATATTATTATTCTTTTCTTTTTTTTACTTTTCTTTTGGTTCTTTCTTTTTTTTTTTTTTTTTTTATTAATTCCCCTATATACGTTTTGTAGCGACCTTATAGGCTTTTGGTTTTAATTTAGCTGACTTTTCTCCGACAATAAGCACATTATTATTATTATTGATATTATTATGTCGCAGAGAACAGCATCTTTCGTCTGTATAGTATGCAATGATGACTGTGCTAAGTGTAAATGGTTTGAAATAAAAAATCAGGGAGAGGGCGGAAGAGGAGGAGAAAATGAGATGAAGCAGCAGCAGCTGGAGTAGGAGGAGAACGAGAAGGAGGAGGCGTGTGGCTTTTTGGGATGTGTAGTGCGTGTTCTCTTGATGTGTGCGTTGCAGTTACGCACCTTTGATTAACGGATTTTATTTCGCCTCCTTTCTTTCCTTCTTGGTCGTTTGTACACAGCCGTATGCTGTTCAGTGCGTCTATGGAGTCTTGCGTAGTGTACACCTTTCACATACATTACTGAGTGTGAGCACACACACACACACACACACACACACACACACACACACACACACACACACACACACACACACACACACACACACGCACGCACGCACGCACACACACACACACACACACACACACACACACACACACACACACACACACACACACACACACACACACACACACACACACACACACACACACACACACACTAAAGAATCCCTTAAATTTTGTTTTTAAAATATGAATTCCAAAAATAATTTCTGTCGCGAAACATGACAATGTTTTAACACGAAAATCTAAACGATAATCCCCCGACGTGTGCGACTGATTACGTTTCTTTCTTTCTTTCTTTCTTTCTTTCTTTCTTTCTTTCTTTCTTTCTTTCTTTCTCATATATATCGGTTACCCAAATAATAATAATAATAATAATAATAATAATAATAATAGCTTGATCCACGTTTTTGAGCACACCCGTCTGCTACGGTAGCTAGAAAATTCCTTTGGCAGACGTCCGCTCAGGCACATTTATATTTGTTAACAACTACAGACTCCAATTGCGGTTTATACCGCAACTATGCTAAGTGAACCTTAGTTACAGTTTCTGGGAGAGAACGCATAATCTGTCGTGATCAACAGTTTGAACAAGTCCAATACATTCAAACCTTTAGTCACAATGATTTGTAATTTCACATTAATCAACGGCTAGCGAACAGTACCGTCTACTCAATTGTACTGAAAAGGCTTGGGTAAACCCATGGTGTAGGGTACCGTACGTTGCGATTGTCTCCCCATGCCTATGACATCAAGAAATTCGACTGACCATAATGAGATTCAAACCCGGGTCTCCTAGTTAAAACACGAACGAGCTAAGCTATATGCCTTTTTATATATATATATATATATATATATATATATATATATATATATATATATATATATATATAGTGGCTATTACGGCTAATAAAGCAAGACTCTTCGGTAAATCGAAACGAGTTCTCTCAGTTTATCTAAAATACGCTTAAATTCACCGCATCCCTGCCGTGCGACAACGGCTTAGTGGTAGAATCCCCGACTGATGCCAATACAGTTGGGTTTTGATCCTAGCTTGAGACAACCGGACGTCTAGCCACACTGATGAGCTGTGATACAGCGAAGCAGTCTGCCTATGGATGACAATATTATATATATATATATATATATATATATATATATATATATATATATTCACAAGTTATTTTAGTTTGAATATATATATATATTCAAGTTATTTTAGTTTGAATTTTAGTTTTAGTTATGTTTGAATTAACATCCCTGCTCATTCACAAGTAGTAAGGTTTTCGATGATCTAGGCCTGTAGATGATATAAGCCTCCAACACAGATATAAGTTCATAACGTGCTGGAGAAGTTTGCATAAAATGCATATATATATATATATCGATTCTCCCGTCGGGTTCGACGTATGAGGGTCATGTAGATCAGTTTCCAGGAAACTGATAGCCCGACACCGGCACATGAGATTCGATTATAGTGGTGAAGGTTTCGTGCAGGACCATCCACACTTTTTGAAGGGCCGACATGGTGCACCTGTTATGAATGAAAAAAATCCTTGTTTCTATAAAGCTTGTAGTAAAAATAAGAACTAATGCAGCAGAA